ATCTGGTGTAAATTTGTTAATCATGTAAAAATAACAATCACAGAACAATCATGTAAGAAACATATTTAATCATTTGCTAGTTCAATCCGAAGATTGGTTTTGAAATCATGTAATGATGTCCCTCTACCAATTCTCAGTTCCTTCCTTCGTTTTGGCAGAAGGATGTGCCAAAACATTCCTTCTTGCTTGCATGATGTAGATTTTTTTACAACCTCCTGTTTCTCTTGCCATGAATCTTGCTCTCCGGCATTTTCAAATAATCATTCATGTATATAAACAGAACTGGTACAAATTAATATCTATTTATCAGTATTTACATAAGTCAATATAAATTAATCAGCATTTATACATAGTAATATAAATTAATCAGCTCTTATATACAGTGATATAAATTCATCAGCATTTATATAAATTAATCAAACTTTGTTAGTATTTATATATATTTTTTTTCAAGTATCCAAAAACCACGAGTTGTACCCTTTGGCTCAGTACTATGGATATCGCAACCCTTCGGCCTTGATTCCATTATAGGTACCATAAATCTGGGAGAAATGTGGCTTTTCTGCCTACCCCCGGTAGTGAACCCAGACCATAAGGAGTTCGTCACCCGGCCACCATGAAAGTCAAGTTTACCCAACTGGCTCTGTATCACCGCGAGGATCATGAAATACTTTGGGTAGATTTTAAACTTCAAATTTTGCCTGGGCATCGCCGTTAGGCTACACTTTTTGATTTTCACCTGCCAGATCTTTAAAACGAATGTGCATGCAAAACTGAAGATCTGGAACAAGACCAAAGTGCAGAAATGTATGAACAACCAGACCCTTCGGCTGGAGTTTACAACATGTGCACAATAAGAAGAAGTGTGTGACTGTACTTGTTATAATTAGTTAAAAGCACACTAGAGAAATCTGGCAATGTAAATTTTTTTCACAAGTTGTGTATCACTTATATTTTATCAGGGTCCAAGACGGTGGCAAAGAATAAGTCAATGACCCAAGGGGTTGAGTGGTCTCAAGACATGACGTCAGCCCCGAGTGCTGGAGGTCCCAGGTTCAGGTCCCGATGAAAGCTGGGATTTTTTCACTTAGACTTCTGGTAATTTCCCCTGGTCTCTTGGTAGTGAGATTGAGATCGGACGCTCGTGTGTGATGTTGCACACGTAAAAAATCCCTTTGCAGTTGGAAATCGAAAAGAGTAGCCTAACGTGGTTGCCCGGGAAAAACTTGTGAGTTACAAATTTATTCTAACAGCAGCAAGCTCCTTATTTCCGCATAAAGACATACATAAAATAACCTGGATTTCGCCAGATAACATAACAAAAAACCAGATAGATCATTTTTGCATCAGCGCCAAATTCCGTACATCAGTGCGTAACCAAAACTAATAATGCGGATACTACAAATAACATAGACACAAATTGGGACTTTTTCAAGAACACACTGACGAACGCTGCAGTAAACACAGTTGGTTATGTACAAAAGCAGAAGAAGAAGTGGCTAAGCGACAACACTTGGTCAAAAATCCAAGAAAGGAAACAAGCAAAATTAACACTTTTATCCAAAAAAGACACATCTTCATACGAAAAATACAGCACGCTAGACAAAGAAGTGAAATCAAATGCAAGGAAAGACAAACAGAACTTCATACACGACCTCGCCTCCGATGCTGAAACAGCTGCCAAGATTGGAAACAACAAAGCCGTATTCCATATTATGAAACAACTGTGCAATCACTCACCTACACTAAATACACCCATTAAAGACAAGCAGGGTAAACTACTGCTATCCGACGACCAACAAACAAAGCGATGGGCAGAACATTTCAAGGAAATATTAAATAGGCCAAATCCTGACATCATTGCCAATTTAGAAGAAGAAATTATTACACCGACACTAGTTGCCTCCAGCGAGTCATTCACAATAGAGGAGATTAAAACAGCTATTAAAAAATTAAGAATAAACAAAGCTACCGGAGAGGACAACATCTCAGGAGAAATGCTCAAAGCAGCGGATGAAAACACCCTGCAACATTTGCTCCAGCTGATGGATGAAGTCTGGCAAAACGAATACCCACCACAACAATGGAAAGATGGTGTAATCTTCAAATTACCTAAAAAAGGTGATTTATCCGATTGTAACAACTGGAGAGGCATCACCCTGCTTTCGATACCAGGGAAACTATTTTGTAGTATGCTACTAGAAAGATTGAAAAAATCAATAGATGAAAGATTAAGGGAAGAACAAGCCGGTTTTAGATCCAAGCGGTCATGCATAGACCACATCTTTACTCTTAGAATAATTGTTGAAGATTCTACAGAATTCCAGTCGAAATTATTGATCAACTTTGTCGACTTTCAAAAAGCCTTCGACAGTATCCATCGTCCAACACTCTGGAAATTGCTTAACATCTATGGTTTCCCCATCAAATATATCAACATCATAAAATCTTTTTATAATGAAACACGATGCTGTGTAAGAACTGATTCCGGCAATTCTGA